CTACCCGACTATTCTTACACCCACCGACCCATCCACCCATCCATAACCCTGCCCACACCCCGCCCACCGATCCCTATTACACTCCATCCCACGCATCCCGGCTCTCTAAAACCCACCCATCCACCACCCACCCACCAACCCACCCAACCCACCCACCCACCCCACCCAGCCGCCCACTTCGACATGCCTTTCTAAATCCTAAAACCCACCCACTCACCCATTCTGTACCACACACAACACACACACACACACACACACACACACACACAGTTTCATGACGTTCGAAGTATAATGAGTACGATAATTTAACCCTTAGAGTATGATGACTTAACCCCTTGATACGATGATTTAACCCTTAGAGTATGATGACTTAACCCTTGAGTACGATGATTTAACCCTTAGAGTATGATGACTTAACCCCTTGAGTACGATGACTTAACCCTTAGAGTATGATGACTTAACCCCTTGAGTACAATGACTTAACCCTTAGAGTATGATGACTTAACCCCTTGAGTACGATGACTTAACCCTTCACCTCAGACCTCGTAGTCATGTATGTATGTATGTATGTATGTATGTATGTATGTATGTATGTATGTATGAACAGCTAAACCACAATGACCTTTAACCACACACCCCCCCATCCACCCACTACCATAACCCTCCCAACCTCCTCCCCCTTTCCCTCCTCCATCACGCAAGCAGAGGAGGGAGAGGGAGGGAGGAAGGGAGGGAGGAGGAAGGTAGGCTGACATATAACACCCCCTTCCCTCCTCCCTTACCTCCTCTCCCTCCCCAAATGGCTCCTGACTCGACTTTTCTGCCAGATTTTGTATCACGCAACACCATTTACGTTATAAAGACCAGTGTGTAGTGTGTGTGTGTGTGTGTGTGTGTGTGTGTGTGTGTGTGTGTGTGTGTGTGTGTGTGTGTTATACCTAGGTTACCTGGGGGTTGGGAATGAGGTGACATTTCACAATACGCCTAAACATTTCACAAATACGCCTAAACATTTCACAATACGCCTAAACATTTCACAAATACGCCTGATTTGAACCATTTACCACAACACAACAATACATTTATACAATAATAATAGACCACAATACAACAGGTAAATACAATAGTTAATAGCATAGTGATAATAAAATAAATTAGGCCCGGGGGAGGGTAGGGGGTGGAGGGGGAGGGGAGGGGGGGAGGAGGGTACTGGGAAAAGCTCTGTACTAACACCCACTTTTCCTCCCCCTACACCCACCCCCTCCCTGCCTCGCCACGCCACGCCCCCTGCACCCCTGCCTCCTCCTCCCTAACCACGCCCCCCCGCCCTCCCACACCCCCCACAACCACGACAAAGTTTTAATTGACTGAATAACGAAAATTAAAAGTTCATTTCCAATTTCCACAAAATGAAATGGTTGAGAGTGGCCGATCATTATTGTGGCCACTCTGTTATTGTGGCCATCCTGTTATTGTGGCCACTCTGTTATTGTGGCCACTCTGTTATTGTGGCCATCCTGATAGTGAGGCCATCCTGTTATTGTGGCCACCCTGTTATTGTGGCCACTCTGTTATTGTCCACCTGTTATTGTAGGCCATCCTGTTATTGTACAATTCTGACCTTCCTATTATTATTATCATCATCATCATCATTATTATCATCATCATCATTATTATCATCGTCTCATTAATATTCACGTCACTATTCTCATTTATTTCTCCCCAATTTCTCATTTTTCTCAGACTTTATGATTCACTCTCTTACAATTATCTCACATGAAAGACAAGATATATTTAAAGCGAGATTTAGTCCCGGTTTATCCAGTAAATTGTGATACAGTGAATACAAATATATATAGAGAGAGAGAGAGAGGGGTAGGGGAATAAGCACTGAAGGAAGTGACCTTGACCTCCCCCCCCCAAGAAGACTGGGGAGGTCATGGACCACACACACACACACACACACACACACACACACACACACGAGGTCTTACACAATGCCAAGTGAGATTAATGCAGCTGAGAGTGATCCTAGTCTCAGACCGTCAAGGGACACACTTAAAATGATCCCAGTTATAATATTGAGATTATGTCCTAATCTCACACACACACACACACACACACACACACACACACACACACACTGAGACAAAGGCATGATCTTAATGTTTAATACTGAGACAACTGAGCTAAGCAAGTGAACCTGATCTCACAAATATAGAGAGAGACAAAGACGTGATCTTACAGCACAAACACTTAACTAAGCTCCCCAGGTGATCCTAATCTCAGGGATGTTTTAACACGAGACGAGCATTGAGCTGAGTGTTGTGGGATGACTGGCTAGAGGCTGGAGCAGGGAGAGAGAGCCACGGTGGGAGGTAGGCTTAGATGTCTGGCACAGTGCCAACCCTAGATGGCACCCCCCCCGTTCCGCCCTCCCCCTCACTACCTCCCCGGCACCCCCTCTGTCCGCTGCCCCCACTTTCCAGGCACCCCTCACACGGCTGGCAGCTGGAGGTGTGTGTGTGTGTGTGTGTGTGTGTGTGTGTGTGTGTGTGTGGTGTGTGTGTGTGTGTGTGTGTGTGTGTGTGTGTGTGTGTGTGTGTGTGTGTGTGTGTGTGTAAATGCCAATCAAGCAGTCCATAACTCAGCACCAGTTCACTAATAAGTCAGTCAACCAGTCAATCCACCACCATCCACCAGTCAGATAACCAGTACATGACAAGAACATCAGACTGTGAGACTGTCAAACACTGGGTGCTATTTAATGTGTCATATCTCCACCTTTACTGTCACTCCTGGAGGTTTAAAAGCCATGTGGAGGTTAATTAGAGGCCAGTAGTATACGTCTACTACTAATACTCACTGCTGGAGGACACGTGAGTAGGTCGAACAGTGCCGCCATAGTCACTGTTGAGAGGGTAAAGTCACTGTTGGGATATCCGCAGATTAACTCACGAACGGATAGACTTTAAATGGTCAAAGTTGCTGTGTGTATTGACCATGATAACACCCGAGGTCTCTTATGGTTCATAGGTCAAAGGTCAAAGGTCAAGGTCATAAAAGGCATCACCTTGTTTGCGGAAAAATTATTAAAACATAAGTGAGACAAAAAAAACACCATCAACTTTCTTTCATTTTAGGAGTGATTGGCACACACACACACACACACACACACACACACACACACACACACACACACACACACACACACACACACACACACTGCCTTAGGAAGTATGATTTGACGTTTTATTTATATAGCAATGCAGGGTTTATTATTATTATTATTATTATTATTATTATTATTATTATTATTATTATTATTATTAGTTATTATTATTATTATTATTATTATTATTATTATTATTATTGTTGTTGTTGTTGTTGTTGTTGTCTTTGTTAGTTGTCCCCCAAAAAACAAATTAAGTTGTGATGAAGATGAAGGAACAACAACAACAACAACAAGAGCACACACAGCCTGACACAACAATATGGGCCAGAGATTATAATAATTATTTAATAAAAGCAATTATGAAAATGATCTCATCAGCATAATTGGGCTTCACACGGGAACAATTTTTGTTGAAAAACAATTAGTGTCAATTTGTAGATTACAAAAAATTATGCAAAATCTTTATATAAAGTCTATTTGAAAATATTACAAGACCCTCATAATATTTGGCAACGGCAACTGTGCCTTCGAAAATAATTATGTGTGTGTGTGTGTGTGTACAATATGTATGTATGTATGTATGTATGTAGTTAAGTAGTAATGATGTAACAGGGTAGTTAGTTATTTTAAGACAGGCGATGCATTGGCTCGGTGGGTAACAACATTCTTGCCTCACACGCAGGCCACAGGTTCGATCGGGAAGAGGGGGGGGGAGGGGGGATTGACGTTAGAGAGGTAGTGTTAAAATAAACTATACATAATACACTATACATAATACACTATACATAGAGACAAAAAGGATAATATGAACAATAATAAGAAGAAAAAGACAAAATTTCTCCAATATTTCTCTTTCCACAAAACTCTCTCACAAAGACTCTACACGGCCTTAATGAGAACTCCCTCACTCATCCCCTTCTCACAAAGAAACACCTCCGTCTCTCTCTATATTAAGATCACTGTCCCTAACTAACCTCTTGGGTCTTAAATTATCGTAAGTAAAAAAAACAATAATTCTCGTAACTAATGATGTGACGACGTATCTATCTGACTGACTCAAGCTATTGAATATAAAACACTTGGACTTACCGTATTGGACTTTTATATACCATGGACTTCAAACAACGGACTTGATGTGTATAGGAGAGTTGGACTTTGGACTCGAAGGACTAAGGACTTATGGACTTGAATATAAAACACTTGGACTTACCTTATTGGACTTTTATATACCATGGACTTCAAACAACGGACTTGATGTGTATAGGAGAGTTGGACTTTGGACTCGAAGGACTAAGGACTTATGGACTTGAATATAAAACACTTGGACTTACCGTATTGGACTTTTATACACCATGGACTTCAAACAACGGACTTGATGTGTATAGGAGAGTTGGACTTTGGACTCGAAGGACTAAGGACTTATGGACTTGAATATAAAACACTTGGACTTACTGTATTGGACTTTATACAATGGACTTCAAACAAAAGACTTGATGTATAGAGAGTTGGACTTTGGACTCGAAGGACTAAGGACTTATGGACTTGAATATAAAACACTTGGACTTACCTTATTGGACTTTATACACCATGGACTTCAAACAACGGACTTAATGTGTATAGGAGAGTTGGACTTTGGACTCGAAGGACTAAGGACTTATGGACTTGAATATAAAACACTTGGACTTACTGTATTGACTTTTATACACCATGGACTTCAAACAATAGACTTGATGTGTAGGAGAGTTGGACTTGACCTGAAGGGCTAGACTTGAAGAATAAAATACTTTGGACTTAAAACTACAAAACCTGATGGACTTTGACTTACTTGTGTGTAGCATAGGAGTAGGCAGCCAGCAGTAGCAGGATACATTGACGGGAACACGAATGCCCTGCCGGATAGAGAAGGGAAACCGGTTAAGGATGTGGTACGGATAGAGAGACACAGGAGAGAGAGAGAGAACCGGTTATGACGCGGTAGCCGGATAGAGAGACACAGAGAGAGAGGAGAGAGAGGAACCGGTTAAGTGATGTGTGGTAGAAGGAGAGAGAGAGAGAGAGAGAGAGAGAGAGAGAGAGAGAGAGAGAGAGAGAGAGAGAGAGAGAGGGAGATAGAGAGAGGAGAGAGAGAGAGAGAGAGAGGAACCGGTTAGTGGACGCGGTTGTAGTACTTGAGTGCTGGGTGTCTGGCAACCGGTTACTGTAAAGAGAACCGGTTTGTTGATCACGGAGCCGGAACGCTGAACAACGGGGAGAGAAAGGTAAAAAGGAGAATAGAGGTTTATAGGGTTGAAGGAGGGGAGATAACCTCTCTGTCTCTCTCTCACATGTGCAGATAATTTCATATATGTATGTATGTATGTGTATATGTATGTATGTATAGTATGTGTAAAGAGGCCGAGTGCTTATTGTTTATAAATAAATAATCCCAACCTAACCTAACCTAACCAAACCCCTAACCTAACCTCCTCCTCCTTCCTCCCTCCAAACCAGATTCAGACCAAAACACACACACACACACACACACACACACACACACACACACACACACACACACACACACACACACACACACACACACACACACACACACACACACACACACACACACACACACACACACACACACACACACACACACACACACACACACACACACACACACACACACACACACACACACACACACACACACACACACACACACACACACACACACACACAGGTGAAATAGCAGAGAAATAGTTTGGGGGTCTGGGCTAATTGAAGTTCTCTCTCTCTCTCTCTCTCTCTCTCTCTCCTCTCTCTCTCTCTCTCTCTCTCTCTCTCTCTCTCTCTCTCAGCTGAAGGAAGGAAGGAAAGGGGGAAGGAAGGGACAAGAAAGGAGGAAGGTGATAGTTAGGGGTGTTTACCTCACTAGTGGAGGAGGGGTAGGGGGTAAGGAGAGGTATTGGAGGAGGGAGAGGAGAGGATGGGAGGTGAGAGGGGAGAGGAAGGAAGGTGATGAAAGAAATGAGAGACAGACGACAACAGAGAGAGAGAGAGAGAGAGAGAGAGAAAAGAGAGAGAGAGAGAGAGAGAGAGAGAGAGAGAGAGAGAGAGGAGAGAGGAGAGAGAGATTACCGTCTGATTATATATCCGGTACATAACTACCGTACACAAGAGAAAAAGAAAATAACTTCCCATTATACCACAGAAAGTAAGAAGAAGTTACATAATATACGACAAACACACACATATTATATAACACTATAGAATTATATAAATAATAACACCGATAAGGAAGGGGAGGGAGAGGGGAGGGGAGGGGAGGGAGAGAGGGAGGGGAGGGGAGGGAGGGATAAAATTATAAAACAACAAATAATCATATTCCTATATTAAATTGGTTCATATATGGGGGAGGTGAGGGGAGGGGAGGAGGAGGGGAGGGGAGGAGAGGGGACTTGTTATATGAGATACAGGTGTTATAGATGGGATATATAAGGAACATGGCCTGACATTGATTTCTCCTTTCTATATATAACAACGAACCACTTTAATTAATATAAGGAAGGGGTAGGGTGGCATGTTGCACGTTCTCTCTCTCTCTCTCTCTCTCTCTCTCCTCTCCTCTCTTTCTCTCTCTCTCTCTTTAGTGCCATTGTCAGGTGGTAGGTTCTCAGGTCACTCTAAGGAGGGGAGGAGAGGGAGGGAGGGGAGAAGGAGGAGGGAAAAGGAGAAGGAGGGAAGAAGGAGGAGAAGGAGGAAGGAGGAAGAAGGAGGAGGGAAAGAGGAGGAGGGAGAGGAGTTTCTGTCCAAATTTTAAAGAAGAAACAGCCAAACACACACACACACACACACACACACACACACACACACACACACACACACAGCGTCATCGACCACCGCCTAGAGTCTTACACAACAAAACCAAAAAAAACAACACCACTAAAATCTGCCCAGCCTCAGATTCAGATTAGTAAAAGATTAGGATTTCTATCGGATTATGTGACCCTCTCCCACCCCTCATTCTCCTCTCTCCCCACCCACCCACCCCACACACACAACCACATTTTCACACTAAAGAGTCACCTTCAACATACCGATGCTTAACAGAACACGATGACACCACATTATACAGTGTTGGTGAGAGACACCGACTGGGGGTGTTGGGTGGGGGGTAGGAGGTAGAGGGTGGGGTGGGTAGGGGGTGGGAGGGGTCTGGGTGGGTGGGAGGTGGTGAGGCTTGGTGGGTGGAGGGTGGGTGGGTAGGTAGGTGGGTGGATGAATCTCGACTCACTTCCACTCACCTCACCTCACCTCTACCCCAACTGTTCCATTGTCATTGTCTATAAAATATATCCCATCAATCTCTATTCCTTTCTCTCATCGCCACAACATTGGTCATCAACTATCTTACGTCATCAACTATCTTACGTCATCAATTATCTTACGTCATCGAGTGTCTTATGTCATCAGTATCTTACGTCATCAACTATCTCACGTCATCAACTATCTTACGTCATCAATTTGTAAATAACCAATAACCCAAAAACATTCAACAGATTTATAAGTAAAAATATTCACTAGAGAAATAAAACAAACATTACTTAGCAATGCCATAAGTAAAAACAAGATCAAATAAACCAATAAGAAACAACCTTCTCTTAAAGCAAGATTCCTATTGGTCAGACATATAAACGAAGCCTCGTTTTTCTATTGGTCGGGCCAGAAACATAAACAAAAGCCATGTAAACACAAACACCCTCAGACTCCTCCACACCAAAAACCTTACACAAACAAACTAACCAATTTCAGATACAAATTGTGGCGTTGGCGAACAAAAATCTGTAATAGGCAAGAAGGAAAATTCCCCCCCGAGAGAGTGAGAGCAAATTTACGGGAGAAAAAGTCGGACAGGTTGGGAAGCGTTGGTATCCTCCGCGTAACGTCTAAATCCCCGGCAAACATTTAAATCCCTCGTAAGAAAGAGTAAAATGTAAATATAGAGAGTTGGGGAGGCGAGCAGCGAGACGCCATAACCAAAACCAAACGACTAGAAGCACTCAAATGCCAGACATATTTTCCTGCCCGTGTTGGGAATTGTGAACGTAATCCATTCTGCCGGACGAGACGTTTTTCCAGCGCCCGGCACCTTGTTAGGGATAACGAGGTGTCTGGCGTAGGAGCAATATTGACTTTTTTCTTCCTTCCTCTTTCCCTTTTTCCTTCATTTTTCCTTCACTTTTTTCTTTGGAAATATTCTTCCTGCCATCATTACCAGCTAGCGAGGTGCACCAACTGATTTGTAATTCATCCAATAATAATAATAATAATAATAATAATAATAATAATAATAATAATAATAATAATAATGGTAAAAATAATAATAATAATAATAATAATAATAATAATAATAATAGTAATAATAATAATAATAATAATAATAATAATAATAATAAGTAATAATAATAATAATTAATAATAATAATAATAATAATAATAATAATAATAATAATAATGGTAAAAATAATAATAATAAAATAATAATAATAATAATAATAATAATAATACCAATAATAATAATAATAATAATAATAATAATAATAATAATAATAATAATAATAATAATGGTAATAATATTAATAATAAAATAAAAATTATAACAATTTTAATAATAATAATAACTATATTTTTATTATAATTTTTTCATTCATCTCATCCATAAAAATTATCTATCCATCCAACACCCACGCATCCACCCAACCATCCACCCAACCATCCATCCACCAAACCATCCACCAACCATCCATCCATCTACCAAACCATCCAACCCAACCATCCAACCCAACCACCATCCATCTGCCAAACCATCCAACCATCCATCCACCAAACCATCCACCCAACCATCCATCCAACCATCCACGCCAAACCATCCAACCATCCATCTACCAAACCATCCACCCAACCATCTAACCATCCATCCATCTACCAAACCATTCAAACCATCCATCCAACCATCCATCTTCCAAACCATCCACCAACCATCCATCCAACCATCCATCTGCCAAACCATCCACCCAACCATCCACCCAACCATCCATCCATCTACCAAACCATCCACCCAACCATCCATCCATCTACCAAACCATTCACCCAACCATCCATCCAACCATCCATCTGCCAAACCATCCACCCAACCATCCATCCAACCATCCACCCAACCATCCATCCAACCATCCACCAACCATCCATCCAACCATCCACTAGAGGGACGCCTTTTAAGCTTCAATAATGAAAACAATCTTACTTCAGCTAACCAACCATACAGGAGGGAGAGGGAGAGGGGAGAGGGGAGAGGGAGAGGAGAGAGGAGATGGGAGAGAGGGAGAGAGGGGGAGAGGGGGAGAGGGAGAGAGGGAGAGGAAAGGGAGGGGCAGGGGAGAAAAGGTGTTGAATATGGAGAAAAGTAAGGGGAGATTGAGAGGAAGGAGGGGGAAGAGAGACGGAAGGAGGGAAGGGAGGGGAGAGAGAAGGGGAGCGAGGAGGAGAGGGAAAGGTAAAAAATTGTGGGTAAGCTTGAACAAACAGTGGGTCGTTGGCCTCTCTCCTCTAACATAGAGAGAAGACAGATGGAGAAGTGTGTTATATTCTCCTCTCTCTCTACTTGTTATCTTAGCAATTTACTGTCACTTTCTACTAGATAGACTGTGACCCACTACACATGGGTGGGAATAGCCACACATACACACACACACACACACACACACACACACACACACACACACACACACACACACACACACGGCTGCCCAAGGTTCCTCCCCCTTCCAAACTCATACCATCACTTGAGAATCAATAGTGGGCCCTCCCTCCCTCCTCCCTCCCTCCTCTAATACCGCCATGAACCAGACACTCCTCCTCCCTCCATCCCTCCCTCCTCCATGTGAACCAGACACCTCCCTCCCTCCTCCCTCCCTCCCTCCTACCATGTGAACCAAACACCCTCCTTCCTCCATGTGAACCAGACACTCCCTCCCTCCCTCCCTCCTCCATGTGAACCAGACATTCCTCCCTCCCTCCCTCCCTCCATCCCTCCCTCCTCCATGTGAACCAGACATACCCTCCTTCCTTCCCTCCCTCCCTTCTCATCCTCCTGTAACCTCTATCTCTCTCCTCCCTCCCTCAATCAACACCTTCCTCCCTCCTCAATAACACCTCCTCCCTCCTCAAACACCTTCCCTCCTCCCCAATCAACACCTCCTCCCTCCCTCAATAACACCTCCCTCCCTCACATAACCCTTCCCTCCCTCCCTCAATAACACCTCCCTCCCTCCCTCAATAACACCTTCCCTCCCTCCCCACACACTCCCTCCCTCCCCAAACACCTTCCTCCTCCTCACACACCTCCCTCCCTCCCTCACACTTCCTCCCTCCTCACACCTCCTCCTCCCTCCCTCAATAACACCCTCCTCCTCCTCACACACACCTCCTCCTCCCTCACTCCCTCCTCCCCACCTTCCCTCCTCCCTCAATCTCCCTCCTCCTCCCTCCCTCCCTCACATCATCCACCTTCCCTCCCCACACCTCCCCTCCTCAAACACCTTCCCTCCCGCCTCACCACACTTTGTCCTCCACACCAACACACCTTCCTCCCCCTCCCCCCCCCCTCCCTCCACAGTTCCAGGTGGCAGCTCTGTTACAACTTCACTCGTTGGTATTCAGAACAAGCCCTGAGCCCCCCCGACCTACGGGAGCTGGGGGGGTAAAGAGGGAGGGGAAAAGGGGTAGGAAAAGGGGTAGTAAGAGGAAGAGGTTAGGAAGAGGAATGAGAGGGAGAATGAAGGAGGGGAAGGGGAGAAAAGGGTTAGGAAGAGGGAGGAAGGGGGGCAAGAAGAGGGAGGAGGAGGAAGAGGGAGGTGTAGGAAGGAGACAGAAGGAAAAAGAGGGGGTAGGATGATGAGGAGAGGGCGAGGTATTGATACTAGAGGGAGAGGGAAGGGAGGAGGGAGGAAGGAGGGATGGGAGGAAGAAGGAGGGAGGGAAGGAGGGAGGAGGGGAGAGAAGGAAGGAGGGAGGGAGAGGAAGGAGGGAGGAGGGAAGGAGGGATGGAGGGAAGGGGATGGAGGGAGGGAGAGAAGGAAGGAGGGAGGGAAAGAAGGAAGGAGGGAGGGGAGAGAAGGAAGGAGGGAGGGAGAGAAGGAAGGATGGAGGAGGGAAGGAGGGAGGGAGGGGAGAAGGAAGAGGAGGGAGAGAAGGAAGGAGGGGAGGAGAGAAGGAAGGAGGGAGGGAGGGAAGGAGGGAGGGAGGGGAGGGAGGGGAGGGGAGGGAGGGAAGGAGGGAGGAGGGAGGGAGGGAGGAAGGAGGGAGGGAAGGAAGGAGGGAGGAGGGAAGGAGGGAGGGAGGGAAGGAGGATGGAAGGAAGGGAGGGAGGGGGAGAGGGAGGAGGAGGGGAAGGAAGGAGGGAGGAGGGAGGGAAGGAAGAAGGGAGGAAGGAGGAGGGAGGAGAGAAGGATGGAGGGAGAGAAGGGGAGGAGGAGAGAAGGAAGGATGGAGGAGGGAAGGATGGGGAGGAAGGGGAGGAGGAAGGAGGAGGAGGGAAGGAGGGAGGAGGAAAGGAGGGGGAAGGAAGGAGGGAGGGAGAGGAGGGAGGGAGGAAGGAAGGAGGAAGGAGGGAAGGAAGGAGGGAGGGAGGGAAGGAAGGAGAGGAAGGAAGGAAGAGGGAGGGAAGGAGGAGGAGGGGTACTTGTTTGTAAAGAGAAGAAAAATAAGAACAATAATACCAATATCAAAAACAACAACAAAAACAACAACATTAAAATAAACCAACAAACAACAATAAAAACAAACAGACGTAAACAAAGAAACAAGTAGACACAATCCTGACCTTGACCCCACCCCCCTTGTGTGAACTTTGACCTTCCACCCCAAATATAGACACAGACAGACAAACAAATAAACAGACAAACCGGAGAGACAGACGCTTGAAGACAGACAGACAGACAGACAGACAGCCAGACAGACAGACAGACAGACAGAAAGACTCTCTCTCTTCAATACATACAACACCTGCAGCCCTCCATACACCTGGTAGCCCTCCACACCCTGGTAGCCTCCATACACCTGGTAGCCTCCATACACCTGGTAGCCTCCATACACCACTAGAATCACACCAGCCCATACACCTGGTAGCCTCCAACACCTGGTAGACCTCCATACACCTGGTAGCCCATACACCTGGTAGACCTCCACACCTGGTAGCCTCCATACACCTGGTAGCCTCCATACACCTGGTAGACCCCACACACCTGGTAGCCTCCATACACCTGGTAGCCCATACACCTGGTAGCCTCCATACACCTGTAGCCCTCCATACACCTGGTAGCCTCCATACACCTGGTAGCCCTCCATACACCTGGTAGCCCTCCACACCTGTAGCCTCCATACACCTGGTAGCCTCCATACACCTGGTAGACCTCCATACACCTGGTAGCCCAACACCAGCCTCCATACACCTGTAGCCCATAAACCTGTAGACCTCCATACACCTGGTAGCCTCCATACACCTGTAGCCTCCACACACCTGGTAGCCCATACACCTGAGCCCATACACCTGGTAGCCTCCATACACCTGGTAGCCTCCATACACCTGGTAGCCTCCATACACCTGGTGACCTCCACACCTGGTAGCCCATACACCTGGTAGCCTCCATACACCTGGTAGCTCCATACACCTGTAGCCTCCATACACCTGGTAGCCTCCATACACCTGGTAGCCTCCATACACCTGGTAGACCTCCATACACCTGGTAGCCTCCAACACCTGGTAGCCTCCATACACCTGGTAGCTCCATACACCTGGTAGCCTCCATACACCTGGTAGCCTATACACCTGGTAGCTCCATACACCTGGTAGCTCCATACACCTGGTAGACCTCCAACACCTGGTAGCCCATACACCTCTCCACACCCACAGTACACTGTAAGCAAAAAACTATAAGAGGGTGTTTTCTAACCAATCACAGCACTTCCGAGGGTGACGTCACTTATACGTCACTAGAGGCTCACGTTCTGATTGGTTCATCCCAAGACATGTCTTTTTATAAATACGTCACTACAAGCTCATGTTCTGATTGGTTAATCTCAAGACGTAGGCGTGGTTTTTACACACACACACACACACACACACACACACACACACACCAAGAAAAAAACGAACCAAAAAGCATCAAACAGAATCATGTATGTGAAGTTTAACTCTCATAAAAACACCGACTGCAGACATTGTTTGAACCTCAGTGTGTGTGTGTGTGTGTGTGTGTGTGTGTGTATGATCACTTTAGATGACTTACACAAACAAACGAAAAAAGCACAAACAAAGAGTCAAAAAACACACACACAAACAAACACACACACACACACACACACACACACACACACACACACACACACACACAGCGCTATATGTAAAAACAGAGAGACACACAATAAAAAAAGCGTGCAAATAAAACATGTAAATAAATACAGGGTGTGTGTGTGTGTGTGTGTGTGTGTGTGTGTGTGTGTGTGTGTGTGTGGAGGAGGGCTCGTACTGGGGAAGGGGAGATCTATTGTTACACTCCCTCCTCGTCACTCCCCCCTCACCACCTCACCACCCCCCGGAAATCTGAACACAAAACACACACAAAAATAAAACAATTATTAAATGAGTGTGTGTGTGTGTGTGTGTGTGTGTGTTGGTCCTGAATGGCTGCATATTGTTCTGTATTGTACACACACACACACACACACACACACACACACACAGCCCCTGAGTATGGAGGTAGTTGGAGACCCTCTCGGTTATATCGTATAGAAGGAATTAACCCCCAGAGAATTATTTTTTTCCCCGAATAAACATTGAGCTCGTAACCCCAGAGATGTTTAAGCCAATCACAGAATTTATCCCCTGAGAATATTAACCCTTTAAAAACACTAATGTCATCCCCCAGAGAGACCGGTTTAAGTTCCAGTACAAGACTTGACCCCGGATTATATTTAAAGTTTGTAAGCCCCAGAGAGAGAAAGAGAGAAATATAACTCCACTAAGAGAATTTCACCCCCAGAAAATAACCCACTAAACAGCTTCACCCCCTGAGAACGTTCACCAATCACACTTCACCCCCAGAGAAGGAATCTTTTGAGCTGGCAGCATTCGCGAGACCAAGTTGACGACAGATTGTTAAAAAGGCGTAGCACCATCTTGAAATATTAATGACTCCTTCAATATCTGGGGGTGTGGTGCTGACGCCTTCAATATCTGGGGGTGTGGTGCTAACGCCTTCAATATCTGGGGGTGTGTGCTGACGCCTTCAATATCTGGGGGTGGTGCTGACTCCTTCAATATCTGGGGGTGTGGTGCTGACGCTTTCAATGGGGGTGTGGTGCTGACGCTTCAATATCTGTGGTGCTTGACGCCTTCAATATCTGGGGTGTGGTGCTGACGCCCAATATCTGGGGGTGTGGTGCTGACCTTCAATATCTGGGGGTGTGGTGCTGACTCCTTCAATATCTGGGGGTGGTGCTGACGCCCAATATCTGGGGGTGTGGTGCTGACGCCTTCAATATCTGGGGGTGGTGCTGACGCCTCCAATATCTGGGGGTGTTGCTGACGCCCTTCAATATCTGGGGTGTGGTGCTAACGCCTTCAATATCTGGGGGTGTGGTGCTGACGCCTTCAATATCTGGGGGTGTGGTGCTGACGCCTCCAATATCTGGGGTGTGGTGCTGACGCCTCCAATATCTTGGGGTAAGGGATTGCAACATTGGTATGTCAGCTGGAGACGGTAACATTGGTATGCCAGGCTAGGAGACGGTAACATTGGTATGCCAGGCTAGAGACGGAACATTGGTATGCCAGGCTAGAGACGTAACATTGGTATGCCAGGCTAGGAGACGTAACATTGGTACCAGGCAGGAAGTAACATTGGTATGCCAGGCTAGGAGACGGTAACATTGGTATGCCAGGCTAGGAGACGGTAACATTGTAAACAGATTATGATGCGCGTTTGTTATTGTGGACCGCTGGTGGTTGGCGTCGACTATGTCCGGACACCCGCAAATTCCCTCGACTTGGACTTCGTGGCTTACAACAAACACATAAATACAAAAAAAAAATAATTACTACCACTTAAGAAACAAACAAACAATCACTATTTATAAATTACATAGTAAATATAACGTAAGAAAAATAATTAAAAGTATATATTTAAGATATTATAGTCACCAGCGTAAAAATCGGAAGACGCTATCTGTCGGAAATG